GTTGATTTGAAAGTAAGTTAATAAAATTGGAAGTTATAGAGTCTTTATTGTGTTTTTCTTCAAGACGTTACGATTAATTTTTTTTTATAATATTTTCACATATTTTAAAAATATTTTTATACATTTTTTAATATTAAACAATAGCCTTGTTTGGTAGAGCTGTGGGAAAGTACTTATAACTTATACCTTAACAGCTTATAACTTATAACTATGAACATAAGTTGATTTCTGACTTATAAATTAAGCTTCTCATGCCCCACTCAAAGAATAAGTTGATTTCTGACTTACAAAAAGTTATAAGTTGTATTGTTAAGTTAAACTAAACACATCAAAATAACTTAAATTAAATTAAAAACTAAAATAAACTGAAATTAAACTATACCAAACATGACGAGTACCTATGGAACCACTTGTTAACTTTTGTCAAAGAAAATTAGCCCTACTCCAGAGTCGGCAACATGCAACATATATTTAAAAAACAAAATTCAAAAAGTCAATGCTAAGGAATAAACTATAATATATGCCTCCGTTTGGCAAGAAAAAGCCCAGGTTTTTTTGGCTAAAATAGCCACAAAAAATAAAACAGGCTATTTTAGCCACAAAAAACAAAACATTAAATCCAACCCATAATCATTACAATCCTCTCTCACAAAAAAAGTCAAAAAAGTCAAAAAATCAAAAAGTCCTTCCCAAACCAGGCTAAAATAACCCAAACTAAAATAACCAAAAAATCAAAAAGCTAAAAAGCCAACCCACTCCCTAAACGGAGGCATAGTTATTTTTTAAGGCTCTTCTCTAATGAATTTTTTAATATTGTTTTAAGTCGGTGTTTATTGGCATTCAGTCAATTGGCGAGCCACACGCTCTCTACCAATCACGCAAAGTTCATTTTTTTGGGAGTTGGTGCATACATCAATTTTTAAAGTCTCTGTTTGGGAGGAGATTTTTTGGATTTTTTGGATTAAAATAGTAACAAAAAAATAAAATAGATTATTTTAGTCACAATAAACAAAACATCACATTCAATCCATAATATTAATCATTACACTTTTCTCTCACAAAAAAAATTAAAAAAGTCAAAAAGTTCTTTCCAAACCAAGTTTTTTAGCACAGGCTAAAATAGTCAAAAAATTCAAAAATCAAAAAGCCAACCCACTTCCCAAACGAAGCCAATGACACCTGCAAAAAAAAAAAATTAAGGTTGCGTTTGGTAAAACTTTCTAATTATAATTTGAGTGTATGAGTTGTATTTTGAGTTTGTGAGTTTTGAAATTATGATTTAAATGTTAAAAATTTGTTTGGTAAAAGAGTTTCGAAAAGAGTTTTGAATTGAGTGGGGAATTTTTGATGTAACATTTGATATTTGATATAAAAACTTACAACTCATAATCAAACATAAGTTTTTTTAAAAAATTCGGAAAATATTTTTTTCGAATATATAAAAATTAACATATCAATTGCAAAAAAAAAAAAAAAAAATTGCACGATTCCGGTCAATCGGTGGGACGACCGGTTAGGCCAAATTTTAAATTTTTTTTTTTATTTATAAAAATGGCGCTCTCAAACAGCGTTTTCTGCAGAATTGTGAAAAATCAATTCCACATACCTATCCAAACATCATATTCAAATGTGGGAGTAGAATCAACGTTTGGAAATCGTTCCAAACAAAGCCTAAATTTTTCATACAATTGTATTGTTAAGCAAAATTATTATCAAATATAAAACTAAAATACAAAAAATATAGTTAGAAGTGACAGCAATAACAATAACAATAACAATGGAAATAATAATAAAATACGGAGAAAATGAATAATTCTCGAGTTAAATTTTAAAAGGTTAAGAATAATAATAATTTTGATATTATGATGGTTATACTAAAACAATTTAACATTTTTTAAATTTATGTAGTGAGTGTACTTGGCATAACAATTGTGTACAAAATTATAAAAATCACTCTAGAATAATTAATAAAATTTTCTCTAGTTAATTTTTTTTTTTTTTTGGTGTGGTGGGTTGTTGGGGATGGAGTTAAAACTAAAGTTTAAATAGTTTAAATGAAAAGATGAGATTAAAATCTCATTTCAAATGTCATTTATTTTGTTATTTAGGGAGTGTTTAATAATGCAATGTAATTCTTAGTTAGCTTTATAAGGCGAAACGATATTTTTATATTAATTTAATAAAAATTTTCTATTCATAAAATAATATGAATATTTAAAAATAAAATATGTGATTGGACTCACAATAATATGAATATATAAAAATAAATTTTCTCATTTGACTACAACAACATTCTTGAAAAATAAGTTGTCACTCATCTAATACAAACCCTAAATTGACTTAAATCAATGGGTGCTTCCCAACATGGAATATTTAAAAACACTCTCCAATTAATTTATATCTTGCTGGACTATAACTTTAAATTTCATCTTTATATATTCTTAATAACTTTTGCGTTATACAAAATAGAAAATATATATATATATATATATATATGTAAATGAGAGGTTCCTTTAGCCGCAACCGAACCGCCGAACCGTGAGCATCTCTACTAAGGCCAAGTTTGGGAAGACTAAATAAGTGCACTTTTTGTCTTTTTAGACTAAAAAGTTAAGGTTGAAAATATGAATGTTTGGGTTAACTTTTTGACTTTTTATGGAAAAATGTGTAATAAAAAATTGTAAAAATTAGTTTGTAAGGGAAAATTAGAATTGGGAATTGTGCAGCCGTAATTGTTGACTTTTGGTGAATAGTAATGACTTTTTAACTTTTTGAGTAACTTTTTGACTTTTTTTAAACTACCTAAACTTGGCCTTATTCTGATGTTTACCCTCTATAAAAGTATAATTATTTAAAATAGTTCTCATTTAAATGTTATACCGCTATAAAAAAAAGGTTCTATGTATATATATATATTAGGAAATTTTTATTTAAATGAGAATAAATTAAAATAAATATTAATATGTTTGGTTTTAATTTTCTGAATTCAGTTTTTTGTGTTTTTTTTTGTTTTTAGTGAATATTTTTTAAGTTTTAAGCAATTTTTTTTAAAACTTTTTTAGATGCACCTTACTTAGATGTATCTAAATATTAAAATATTTGTAAAAAAATATTTTAAAAAGTTAATAAATATACAAAAATACGAAAAATGTACTAAATTTTCATATATATATTTTTTATTTTATATTTTTTGGTATTTAGTGTATTTTTTAAAGATTTTTTTTCACAAATATTATACTTTTTAAGTGTATTTATGTTAGGTGTGTCTAAAAATAAAAAAAATGCGTAAAGTATTAAAAAATTTATTGAAAATATTAAAATATGAAAAATAAAAAAGTATAATTTACTGAAAATTAGAACCAAACAAAGTAAGTGTGTCCCATACCCATACATACCACAATTTTCACCTGCACTGTACACATGTTCACTTACCCTCTACAAGATTGAGTTTATATATATATGACTTTTATTACATAAATGTATATGAACAATGAAATAAATATGATAACAAATAGGATTAATAAATACATGAGTGCAAATAAAGATGAAGGAAAATGATATATGAAGGTGTATAATAGAATTCTCCAAAAATGAAATGTCTCAATTGAAAAATCAAAATAATTATTATTAGAGATTCTTTGGTTGTGTTTGGTTTGCTTTTCAAAAACAAATTTCTAATTATTTTTTTTGAAAAATGGAAACTAATTTGATAAAAATAAACACTAAAAAAATTTATTTTTGCTTCTCAAAGATAAAACTACTATGAAAGCAAAGTATGTTTTAGATTTTTAGAAAAAAATTATGAAAACCAAATTAAACAGAACTTTTGTGTTTAAAATTCTCAATTGTATATGATAAAAAGGGTAAATTACACTTACCATCTTTAATAAATTTTATAAGTTTCTCATAATTAAATTGACTATCTTTTTAATAAAGTTAAAGAGATCGCAATTAAGGTAAATGTTTAGTATACGCATAGATAAATAAGATAAATATAGATTTTAATATGAAAGAGATAACAATATAATTTTTTTTATTCGTACTATTAATGAATTATGGATGAAATGTTTGATTAGCAGAACTAAGAGAATTAACAAGTCATATAATTTTAGTATAAGATGGATTAAAATATACTATTGTCTATGTTGGTTTTATAATGGATATAAAAGACTATGGAAGATTAAAAAATTTCTTAATTTTGTTAGATAGAATATCTATTGAAATTTAATTCGAATAACAAAAATTGTAATGAAATACTGAGATGTGAGTTTTATAAATTAATAATTTTAATCTTAAGTTATCCGCCCATCAAACATGCTCCACGTGTTGGCCTCGTTTAGGAAGTTGACTATTTTAGTAAGTTATTTTTGTTTTTTAACTATTTTAATAGGCAAAAATATTTGTGTTTGGAAAGAGGATTAGATTTTTTTATAGTTAAATATGATATTTATAAGAGAAAAAGTGAAATAATTATAAATTTAATGTGATATTTTATCCTATTAATTATTTTATTTGATTTTATCCTTTTATGAATTTTAACCTAAAAAACTAAAAAAATCCTTTGCCAAACACCCGTATTATATGAATTAAAATATTATAATATATTTTTGAACTCAATATATTTTGTATAATTTGAAAGAAAAATGCTTGGGAGCACTAATTAGTGCTCCCACTAATTAGGTGGCTGATTTTTGACTTTTTGATTATTTTAATTTGGGATTAAAAAGTTTTATTTAGAAAATTTTTTTGATTTTTTTATAAGAGAAAGAATGTAATAATTATAAATTAAATATATTATTTTGTCTTATTAAATTATTATTATTATTATTATTATTTTTTTTTTTTTTGACTATTTTAACCTAAAAAAGTCCAAACCCTCCCGTCTCAAACGAGTTCAAAATTTGTTTTAGACAAAAGATTCCACACCGCAAGAGGAGGGTTTACTCTTTTTTTTTTGTTGTTATTAATCATAATTAATGAAATTTCCGATTTAAGCCTTGCTCTCAAACACTCTTACCGATTTCACGGCGTTTTCGTGGTGACTGTTTCTTCTCTCTCTCTCTATCTCTCTCTCACACACATTCTTCTATGAAAGAAATAAGCTAGAGATCAACAGTCACATTCTTCTATGAAAGAAATAGGCTAGAGATCAACAGTTGTGTGTGTATAATATAATAATATTTACACATTGCTTAAAAATCTTATCTGCTAGATCTGCTTCGCACTCGCATTATCTCCTTTGAAGAACCATCAATTCTTCTTCTTCTTCTTCTTCTGTTTCTGTCTTTACAGTTTCAGAATGGATCGATAAGCCTTTGGTTGTTCTTATTGTCCTCTCAGATCTGTCATATCAATTGCAGAGGTACGTTTTCAGCTCATTGTTCTCGATTGATCCATCTCTTATTATGTCTTGATTTTTGATTAATTCTTTCAAGTGCGTTTTGATTGAACCCCTGAGGTTTTATGATTTTGAATTCAATGTCGCGTGCTAATTTTTGTTGTTTGTACCGTAATTGGATACAGATCTGATTCTTTTTATTTTTCCTATCAGCATGCAGATCTGATGATTTTTATTTGTTTCTCTTGTAAAGATTTGAAATTTTCAACTATTAATGCATTTTCAAGCTAACAAAACAAAACCAAAGGTTTTTGATTAATACTCTCTCTCTCTCGTAGCGTAAGAAAACTATACAGATTCCTGGTTGAATTCTACAAGGCTATATGAGTCGTTTTGTTCAGTGTTCTTGTCGTGTGTCCTCCTTGGCTGTGGCGATTTCATGTAGATCTGGATAGCTTTCTTGAATCCAGTTCGGTTTGGTCTTATGATTGTTTGTTTTCTTGGAAGGCTTCTATTTGTTCTTTGCAGTATTCTCCAATTTGAATTTATGAATTTTTATGATCCCTGCCTGTTAAAATTTCAAACTTTATATATATATATATATATGTATACATATGTATGTGTGTATATGCTGTACTAAAAGATTTTAATGTTGATATTATGTTGTTTTGGTTATCATTGTTTTATTGCCCAACTTTTTCATAGTATTCTCAAGTAAAGAAGGATATGAATTGTGGTTGAAAATGGATACATAGAAATTCATTTGTATAGATAGATATATGCCCACAATTGAACAGAAGACTTCATTCATTTTCCCCAAACTTTCTCATAAATTTGTTTGCCCTGTTGGAAGATTTTTCTTTGTTTGAAGCATTATTTGGCAGCACAACAGATGGCAACAATTTTGTTTTGATGCAAATCAGTGTCTCAATGTTTTTTATTTGTGATGTTGTAATTTTACTAATCTAGTTTACTTGTTAGAGTTAAATGCTCTCATTTTATTTTCTAGGATCTATTGCAATGGGATTGTAACAGTTTTTGTTTTTTTGATCATAGGGATTGTAACAGTTTAAAGAGATGTATCTGATTGTTTCTTTACTCCAGGTGTAAAATTCTAAGGAATAATTGGCATTAATAAACATGGCATTAGGTAAATACTCTAGGGTTGATGGTAGAAAATCTTCCTCGAGTTACTGTTCAACGGTGACTCTTGTTGTGTTCGTGGCCCTTTGCTTAGTTGGGGTATGGATGATGACATCATCCTCCATAGTTCCCGTTCAAAATGTAGACGTGTCCTCTCAGGAAAACAAAAATGAGGTGAAGGAACAAGCGAGCGAGAGTGTAAGAATTTATGTATTATTGATTGATGTCTTGATTGATAGATTACAAGATTCATTAATTACAATTCCTATACAATCTATATATAGAAGAAAATGTGGTAGTAGGTGTAGTGGAGGTGATAGTGGGTTAGGTGAAGTGGAGTGTGTAGTGGAGTAGAGGTAGGTGAAGTGGAGTGTGTAGTGGAGTAGGTGAAGGTAAAGATGGGAAATTCTAACAGAGAGCAATGAGAAAAACCCTAGGAGTGAGAATAATGAGAGCAATCCTAAGCAGTTTGAGGATAACCGTGGTGATTTACCTGAGGATGCAACAAAAGGCGACAACAATGTAAATGTAGCTCACGAGGAAAACAATAATAATTCTCAGGAAAATTCAAACACTTCTGGAAAAACAAGTGAGAATGCCGCAGAGGGAAACGAAGAAGAGAAGCCTGAAAATAAGCCTGTAAAGGAGAATGTAGAGGAAGAGACTAAGTCGACAGATGCTCCTAAAACCGAGACGGAAAATGGAGCAGGAAAAACTGACGATGGGGAATCTAAGATGGAGGGCAAAGATTCTGAAGCTGGGGAGACAAAAACAGACAGTAGGGATCGTAACTCTGGTAGACAAGGGGACTCTGAAGACAAGAAACCTGATTTAGATGAGAGTGAGAAAAAATCAGAGAAGTCAGTTCAGACAAAAGATGGGGGTAAAGTGGATGGTCAAATAGAAGAGAAGGTGGAGCAAAATGAAAATAAGGAGCCAGATCAAAGCTCTGAAAAGAAAAATGTGGACGGACCGGATCTGGTTCCAGGAGAGGCATTTCCCTCTGTGGCTCAGTCAGATCTTTTGAATGAAACTACAACTCAAAATGGGGCATGGTCAACTCAGGCATCAGAGTCAAAAAATGAAAAGGAGAAGCAGAAGTCGTCAGAACCAAATGAACAAGCAGGGTACAAGTGGAAAGTTTGCAATGCCACTGCTGGGCCAGATTACATCCCTTGCCTTGATAATCTGCAAGCGATTAAGAGCCTTCGAACTACTAAGCACTATGAACATAGGGAAAGGCACTGTCCAGAGGATCCCCCCACCTGCCTTGTTCCTCTACCAGAAGGGTACCAACGCTCAATTGAGTGGCCTAATAGCAGGGAAAAGGTATACTGATTTGATTCTCCAATGCATGTTCACTTCCTCTCGATTTTTCTTTCTTACTTATGTAGATATCGAATGTTTGTTTTTGCAGATATGGTATCATAATGTTCCCCATACCAAACTTGCGCAAGTTAAAGGGCATCAAAACTGGGTCAAAGTTAGTGGTGATTACCTTACCTTTCCTGGTGGTGGGACCCAGTTTAAGTTCGGTGCTCTTCATTATATTGATTTTATACAACAGGTTAATACTTCTAACTTTTCTATCTCATTGCATCAACTAATTTTTCTGTCTTTAAAAATGAAAAAAATGTTTTATGATTTTGCATGTTTGTATGTCGTTCTAAGTCACTTGTAGTCACTAGAGTGCACTTTGTAGCATACTCGTTTCTTGCAGCCTTCTTTGCCTGCTTTCTCTCTGTTACTTATGATGATTTAATGCTACCTTTTTGCTTGTTTCCTTTGAATGTATTATTTTTGTAGTCTTAAAGAAGTTGTGAGCATATTACAATTTTGTCTCAACGCTTGATTCTTGGGGTTTAATCTTTTTGTATCTTTCTTTTCTTTTTCATTTTTGGAAAAGGGGCAAATGCTTCAATGTAATTCTTATGTACCCAGCCTACCATCATGTTTTGATTAACTTGGATATGTCTTGTTTCTGCAGTCTGTGCCTGAGATTGCCTGGGGAAAACGAACCCGTGTGGTATTAGATGTTGGATGTGGAGTTGCTAGCTTTGGAGGCTATCTCTTTGAAAGAGATGTGCTCACAATGTCATTTGCCCCAAAAGATGAACATGAAGCCCAGGTTCAATTTGCACTTGAAAGGGGAATCCCTGCTATATCTGCTGTGATGGGCACTAAGAGACTTCCGTTCCCAGCCAGAGTCTTTGATGCTTTGCACTGTGCACGGTGTAGGGTCCCCTGGCATATTGAAGGTATTTTATTTATTTATTTCTGATGACTTTGTTTTGAGAGTAGTGCTTAGACAACCTTAAGCTATTTTAGCTTAAGACCTGCAATATTATATTGCATTTATATAATTCTTCCATTCTCCATTTGTTTCTTGGTCTAGAGTGTTTTGTTATTTGACTAACTTATTTTGAGTGACTCTTTTGATTAATTATTATTTATAGTTTTTGTTTGGAAATTGATCTGATGCTACAAACTGCAGGCGGTAAACTTCTATTGGAGCTAAATCGTGTACTGCGACCTGGTGGTTTCTTCATCTGGTCTGCTACTCCTGTGTACCAGAAAGATGCAGAAGATGTCGAGATTTGGGCAGGTAGATGATTCTCTCACCTACATTTATTTTCCTGAAGTGAGTGGGCTGTTTGTTCTAACAAATTGTGCAATTTCTTTTTTGGGATTGTGGCAGCCATGAAGAAACTAACCAAGGCAATGTGCTGGGAAGTTGTGCAAATAACTAAGGATAGATTGAATAAAGTGGGAATTGCTATATATCAGAAACCTACTTCAAATGAGTGCTATGAGCAACGATCACAAAATGAGCCTCCTCTCTGCCTAGAATCTGATGATCCAAATGCAGCCTGGTACTTCTTTTCTTTAGTTGAAATTTAATTTGTTTTTCATGTTTCTTAATTTGTTTGGCTTACTTGGCAACTATGCTTACAGACGGCACAATTCGAAAGTACTTTTTCATGTTTCACTGGTTACCTTGTCTCTCGCTACACCTGTATAGGCATGCTATTAGGTTTTAGATTCATGCAGTGTAAGAACAGGAAGTTTGTTATGCACCTATTGGTCTGACTGCCCTGACGCTCATTTAATTAATGTGGTGTGTGCAGGAACGTGCCATTGCAATCATGTATGCACAAAGTGCCTGCTGATGCAACGGAGCGCGGGTCTCAATGGCCAGAACAATGGGCAACAAGATTGGTGAAACCACCTTATTGGTTGTTGAGTTCCCAGGTTGGAGTTTATGGGAAGCCGGCACCTGAGGATTTCACTATAGACTATGAACACTGGAAACGTGTGGTGACTAAGTCATATCTTACTGGGATGGGGATTAGTTGGTCTACTGTGAGGAATGTCATGGACATGAAAGCTATCTATGGAGGGTAAGTAAAATAATTTTTGTGCCCAATATGGAACAATCTCCATTATATGTTAGTTTCGTTTCATTTCATTTCATTTCTTCTTCTTTTTATTTTTTATTTTTATGATATAAATGATGATGGTTGCAGATTTGCTGCTGCTCTAAAAGACATGAACGTGTGGGTGATGAATGTGGTCCCATTAGACTCTCCAGATACACTGCCCATAATATTTGAACGAGGTCTATTTGGAATTTATCACGATTGGTGCGAGTCATTTAGCACCTATCCTAGATCATATGATCTTCTCCATGCGGATCATCTCTTCTCCAAGATTAAAACGAAGTGTGTTTTTGCCAATTCCTATTTTGATTCCTAATTGAATAGACTTTTTAGTCATTGGTTTTGAGTCCTAATGACTCAATTCTGATTTTTATGATTGTTTTGTGGGTACTACTTCACAGGTGCAATTTAGCAGCTGTGGTTGCTGAGACTGATAGGATTCTAAGACCAGAGGGAAAGCTTATTGTACGTGACAAAGTTGAGACCATCAATGAGCTGGAGAGCTTGCTGAGGGCTATGCACTGGGAGATTCGCATGACCTACTCGAAGGACAAGGAAGGATTGCTATGCGCCCAAAAGACCATGTGGCGCCCCACAGAGGTGGAGACACTCACATATGCGATTGGTGAAATACGCTAGAGCGATATGCTATTGTACCATTGGTGAAATATATGATTTCTCTCGTCAGTTGTGCTTTTGTATTCTTGAGGCATTAATGCCACTGGGAAATAGGTGATTCTTTTTTGTTATGGTTACTTGCTAATTCCAAATCGATGGTTACTTGTAAGTGTACTTAGCCCAATGTATTATTTCTATTAACGATGCCATTACTGCCTCGTTTTTTGTTTTGTTTTTGTCATAATTAGGATTTTGGTGTCTACATTTTGTAAGGTGGTGTTCGGGATTTTCATTGTAATATTACATATTAGTTATTGATGGAATATGAACTCATTCTTGAATGTGTAAATCCCATTGGTTAGAAGCGATGACATACTTCAAATTCTAGAATTACTTTGTGTGTTTTTGTAGTCTCTTTTTTTTTTTTTTTGGTCAAAAATGCTAGAGGTCTTAAAAGTTTTACTAAATGTCTTACATGGGTGTGAGTCTCATATGGACCACGTGGTATGGGTTTTACACTTATGTGAAATATTTGATAAAAATTTTGGATTTCTAACATTATTATTATATTTTTTTTGGGGGGAAACTTACTAATAAGTCTCAAACACAATTTAAAATTCATCTAATCCCAAAAAAAATACTTATACCAATTAGTCTTATATATTTTTAATTCTTATCAAAATTTTTTATTTTTTTAAAAATTTAAAGACGTTTCTACATTCCACCACTGTCGGATTTTCGTCAAACGGTCATCGGAGACTTGTCAGAATATTCAACATCACTAGGAAGTTGTCGGAATATCATTGAAAATTTGTTGGAGTATCATCGGAATGTTCTGAATGTCATCAGAAGTCATTGGAATGTTTAGAATATTTGCTGGATGTCAAAAACATCGTCGGAAATTCACCAGAATGTCTAGAATATTATTGAAAAAAGAAGAAGAATAAACTGAGAAATTAAAGTGAAAAAACATAGCAAAATGTGCTAGCAACAATGAAAAAAAAAATGTTATTTTCAATTTTTGTAGGGTTTAAGTAAATAATTTATAATATTAATCAAAATGAAAATTAATTTTTGAAACTATAAAATGTTACAGTTTCAAAGTATGATTCTATTAAATATTTATCCTTGTTAATCAAATTGGAAAACATGTTATGAAACTGTAAAATTTTACAGTTCTAAAGAATGATTCAATTCAGCACAAAAAAAATTGAAACTATAAAATTTTATAATTTTCACTGCCTGTAATCAAAACTCGAAAACAACTTATTCAGAACTTAAAAATTTTCTCCATTATAATAGGAAAATAGAAGTGTATAGTACAAAAAAAGTATTAAAACTAAGAGATCGAATGAAAGAGATAGCTATAGAGAGATGTTTATACTCCGACAACTATTTTTTAGTTTAGATCTAGTTGGATCTAATGTAGATCTACTCAAATCTGATGTAGAGTAGATCTACTCATCTTTTAAATTGGAAACTCATTTCTTTCGCTATTCGTGAGCACAAAGCAAGGAGTTGATACTCGGTGATTGTTTGTGAACTCCAATCAATAGTGGTCGCCGATGACTGTAGATTAGAAAGAGAGAGAAAAAAAATAAAGGTGTGGTTGTGGTTGTAGTTGTTGTCGATATCAAAGAAAGAGAGATATAGAGAAGAAAAAAGACCAAAGGAAAGAGGAGAAGATAAATGTGTATAGAACTTTTGGGTTTATTTAAAAGATTTTAGCATTAAATAGAATACACACTTTTCAAAAAAAACTTAGGTTGCATTTGGTAGAGTTTTCTAAATATGATTTGAGAATAGAGTTGTATTTTGAGTTTGTGAGTTTTGGAATTATGATTTGAGTGTAGAAAATTTATTTGGTTATAATTTTTGAATAGAGTGTTGAATTGATTTTTGAAGGTTTGATGTGAAATAAACTTTTTTTATTTGGTTATGAATTTTGAAAAGAGTTTTCAAAACTTAATTCAACCTATAATTGATAATCAAACACACAACTCAAAACTCGATTGAAATTTTTGATCAACAGTCATAACCAAACCATTTTTAAAATTCAATTAAAAAAATGAATTATTAATTTTTTTTCAAAATAAATTTTTTTCAATTTTTTTTTTCAAATAATTTTTATGTCAATTATTTTTTTCAATTAATTTTTGTGTCAATTAATTTTTTAGGTCTGAATAAACATATTTTTTTGTATACGTTTGTAATATTTTCCAAAAATTTTGTTCAAATCAAACACGTTTATAATTTACATTAGAGTGAGAGAGGGTCGGCTAGAGAGAGAGAGGGTAAAGGAAATTGAAGTTTTGATTTTGAAGCTTGAATAATTTGAAGACCAACTCAAGAATTAAGCATGAGTTTGGAAGATTAAAGCTCCTAGGTGAGTAATCAACCCTTAACTCATGAGTTTGAGTTGTGATTTTGTGAATTGAAGATTAAATGGTGAGTTAGATCATGAGTTGAGTTGATTAAGTTGAGATTGAAGTCCATGTGTGCATGCATGTAGAGAATTCCTATGAAATTACATAATCTAGCATATAATATGTGAATTATAAATGGTTGAGAGTTGGATCATACATTAAAGCATGGTTTTGTTGAGTTTCATGAGAATAAACACCATTTGCATCATTTGAAATAGAAATGAAGTCAAAATTGGCATGCATGTTTGATTATTAAAGATATGGAGCTCATATGAGGTTTGAATGCATGAGCCATGATTATACAAAGGAATGTTGAGTAAATTTGAAGAATTGGACCATGATTTTGAATGATTGGCCTCATGTTGCTTACATCCATATGCTATATGATGTATTTGCATGTTTTGGATCGAAATTATGAGTTTTGGACCTTTGAAGGTCGAGTTTGAGCCTCAAGAACAATTCTGGATTTTCTAGAATTTGGCATGTCCGCTCAAGCGGGGAAAGCGCCGCTCGAGTGGAAAATGCGAGCTCCCAGAAGTTTTACAGACATAGGTGTTCGCTCGAGCGGGTAGATTCACGCTTGAGCGGGGAGCCATGTAGTGGGACTTTCAGCTCGAGCGCCCGACCTCACGCTTGAGCGTAAAAATGAGGCAACCAGTATTTTTGTAGACCCAAGGGGTCTGCTCGAGCGGCAAAAGCCACGCTCGAGCGGGGACCCCTGTTTCAAAAAATTTGTAAAGGAGTTCTGTGTTTTATTTTCCGTTCTCCTTCACTTCTAAGTACTCTTAGGCATGCATTGAGCATTATGAATGAATTAAAAAGGATAAGAAAGAAGCCTAAGAGGGATGTATGAATTAAGAACGGATTGAATCGTTTGTGACCCATATATGTTATGTAATGTGTAGGGTCAAGCTCAAGGGTGAATCCGCCGGCAGAGCACTGCGAGTAATATCTTAGTAAAGATATCTCGAAGTATGTTATTTGTCCGATTGCTTATTTCCCTATAAGTTTTATAAGTCTGTTAATTTGAATTATGGACAAATGTTCGCTATGCCATGTGGTTGGGCCAAAGGCCGTTCGGATACAAATGAATGGGCCTAAGGTCGTATGACATGAATGAACGGGCCAGAGGCCGTATGTCACGACCCAAACCCACCCCTATGGGTTTAGCACCGTAACTGGCCAGTAATCCGTGATTACCAAAGGCTTGCTTAATAGTAAAGACAGTAATACAGAGTACAGGGGCTGACGGAAGCCAAAACAGTAATAAAAGGTGTCCAATGAGCTGTGACAGTCTGTATGCAAAAAGACTTTTTCGAACATATTCACATTCATAAGCAAAACATATATACATACAACATATACAGACATTCAGGTTAGGGACCAAATCCCTAACATGACAGTACAGTACAAGTCTTAACATTCTATACAAAACAGAAGCAGAAAGGGGGAATCTAAAACACCCCAAAACAGCCTTAGCTTGAGCACACTTGGAACTTCGCAGTGAGGCACATTGGTTGGCTAGACAAAAAGGGAGTTTAACCCAACGCCCCTAGCTCCGATCCGGTGCCTGAACACCTACATATAAATATAAACAGTAAGCTAAAGCCTAGTGAATAACAAATGCGTAAAGGGGTTAAGAATGAATGTCCTTTCAATCATTAAGCAGTCATATCAGTCATTTAGAAACTATAGCAGGTGTATGTGGTATATCCAATAGCAAACAGTACAGTAGGTCTTAACAGACCGAACAGTCAGTTGATGGCCATCATAACAGTAAACAGTAGTGGTTCCAAACATGGGAACCGACAGAGATCTCTGTGACAGTAGTAGCAATAGTACAGTAACAGTAAATTGCTATGGATACCACGAATACAGTTTACAAATAGGACAAACATTCATTCATTAAACAATAACGTTTCAGTAAACAGAACAGTTGATCATTCGGAAAATATTCATAATTGAACATATCTTTACAACATTGTTACTCACAGAGCACTGGGATACAGAGAGGCTAGTGAGCGTCCTCGGATGCCAACCTTACACAGTTACAGAATGAACACACACTAAGTTATACACTTGGGAATCAATGACTTAGTCCCTATCTTGACTCGGTGTGGTTCTACATCAATATCCTCATTAAGATGCCTTAAACATGGCCTAGGAATGCTGGAATGAGGATGCAAAGATGCATTTTAAAACACTTTTCAAAATTTTCAGAAAATAGGGGTCTCGCTCGAGCGTGGCTTTCTACGCTTGAGCGGACATACAGACAAAGGAGCTCCGCTCGAGCGTGACTTCCTTCGCTCGAGCGGATTGTAAACTCATGAAAAGTACTGGATGCATGCAATTCACGCTCGATGGGCGCTCGACCTTCGCTCGAGCGTGAGACACAAGTCCTCGCTCGAGCGTGCATTCCCTCGCTCGAGCAGATTGTAAACATATGAAAAGTACTGGATACACGCATTTTACGCTCGAGCGTTACTTTCCCCGCTCGAGCGGGATGCATGTACTCAGAGTGTACGCTCGAGCATGAAGTCTTACGCTCGAGCGTGGTTCCAAAATCTGAAATTTCCAGATTGAATCTCCAAGCTCAAATTCAACATTCAAAGCATCAAATTCGATTCTCTTGGGCCAATTTTCTAGAAAACACTTTAAAACTCATAATATGACATGTTTCAAAGATCAATTTGCAAAATCAAAGCCCAAAGGTAGTTCAATTAAACACAAATCCAAACAAAACTTCATGAACATAATGCATATGTAACATGCAAGTGTTCAATTGAAATCAAAGCTTCAAATACTTGATCAAACGAGTCAATTGACTCAAAAACATGATGAATTCATGGACTATAGCTAGAATATAGACATGCATGTGAGGATTTCCATGAAATCAACCTCAAACTCAACAATGTGTACATGCATGCATGATTCAAGCTTCAATTCAACAATTTAAAACCAATTCTAGACTTAGCCCACTAATGGTTCATGGACCATGCAAGATACAACTAGAATTCAAGTTCAAGAAGATGATTCTCCTACCTTAGGTCTTCAATTTCAAGTCTAGGAGCTCAAATATGCAATGAATTCCTCAAATCTTCAAGTCTCCAAGCCAAGTTCTTGATGAGCTAAGTTTTCTCCTATTCTCTCACTCTCTCTTCCACGGCTATGGCCAAGAAGATGGAGAATGATGCAACAAAATGATACAAATTCAAGTCTTAAGAGGTTTAATGAAGTGGCCCACTAATGTGGCAAAAAGGTAAATAATGCAACTAATGTAATTCAACAATATCAATCATTCCTAATCAACTTTTAATTAAATTTACCATAAAATCGCATAAATCCTAATCAGCACATAACACTAATCAATTTCTGATTCGACCGCCGATAAGGCCTTCAATTTGCAGTTTAAAACATAAAACATGAACAGATCATTTAGCAGTCAAACAGATAGACTTGTATTTAAACTAATACACTTAATCAATCAGTTCCGAATTTCAGTCAGATCAGTTACTTAACATGCTTAACCACAGTTTAGCACTAATCAGTAGTATATCAGTAAACAGTGGCGAGGGTTGTCACACCGTATGACACGAATGAATGGGCCAGAGGTCGTATGACATGAATGAATGGGCCAGAGGCCATATGACACGAATGAATGGGTTAGAGGCCGTATGACATGAACGAAAAGGCCAGAGGCTGTATGATATGAATGAATGGGCCAGAGGCCGTATGACATGAATGATTGGGCCAGAGGCCGTTGGATAGGAACAGTTGGGCCAAAGGCCGTTGGATATGAATAAATTAGGGCCAAGGTCGTTTGATGTGTTTGGAACTGTAGTCACTTGACCTATGTATGTATATATATTAGATAGAATATGAATTGGGCCCAAGGTCGTCTGTTGTATATTATCCTAGTGTATCTTCTTTATTCGATATTATTCACTGGGCTTTCGCTCACGCTCATTCATGTGTCTGTAGGTGAGCCAAGGGAGGTCCAAACCTAGCCTCAGTGAAGTTTGTGTGAAACAGTCAAGGTTTTGAAGAGTCATCCCAAACGTCTCGCGCACGAGACTTGTCTTCGCCTCTTTTGCTCTTTTGTTATGGTTTCGTTATATTAACGAAAACATTGGATCACTTTTGTATATAAACTTTGGGTTTGACCGACTTAGACTTAATGATCCTGTATGTACAAAACGTTGAGTTATTACCTATTTTGACGTGAGTTATTAACATGTACGTATATGATTTGTTATGATGTGCCATGTAAGCACAGCTCTATGGACAATTTGTAAGTTTGCTTCCGTTTGGCCCCTTTACTCTGATGAGTTACGCCTGGTTTGGTTTGAGGCCATAGGTAATCCCTTGATTACTGGCCGGTTATGTCCTTAACCCATAGGGGCGGGTTCTTGTCATGATAAATGAATTTGATGAATCGATGATGAATTCGCTCCCTTAGCTTGGATTCATCAGGTTCGGGCCAGCTTCTCCTGCTAGTAGACCTAGAGGAAGAAGGAGCAGTTATGTCCCATGCAGAGGTTGGTGGGCAAAGGAAGAAGCAGCTGTGTCCCATGTAGAAGATGATGGGGTAGACGAAGAGTTTCCAAGATCCATTTCTGCAAATGCTTGATCTAAGGGTTCGTAATTGGCAAACTTCAAGTCTAGAGGTTGGTATGTTGCAAAAGCTTCCATAACTTGCGTAAATGGAGGCGGATAAGTGTAATCAATAAAGGCATTGAGATTCTTTCGAGGCCTATAATGATTTTCCATAGACTCCTCATATGCTCAATCAATGTAAGAAAAGGTTTGCTTGGCCATGAGGATTGTATCAGTCTTTTCGAATGCTTAGATAATGGGAAATGTTCAAGGCATAGAAGAGAATTTAATGCAATACAAACATTGCAATGATGGACATCGATTGCAGTTCTAAGAAGATGCAAAGCTCATGCACGTCCTAGGACGTGGGTAAAGTGCTTTGATCTACTAATATCACCAAGTATTGGATATATTAATGCGGGGGGTAATGTTGGCTGTATAAATTGTAAAAGCCAATCACAATTCGATACGTGGCATGAATGAGGCAATTTAGGAAGTTAATACAAGTTGCCAATCGAAGTCAGACACGTGTCTACCTGTATTGATAATAATGGATCTGCGTACCACTGGAACAATAAAGGGATATAAGGTGATGTGGCTTAACGGTTACCCACCAAGTTCAAATTCAAAATCATGAGGGAAGCTTAACTGCAAATATAGCGTAGTAGGACTGACTGTGATAGAGCATGTTCAGCAATCATGAGAGGACATTTAGACAGTTAGAAGCCCACTTCGACGGCTATCATTGAGAAGTATAAATAGCAGAGAAGGCCCTAGAATGAAACTGCCAGACTCAGATAAAAAAACCAGTTTATTTACTTCGTTTTATCTTCTAATTTTTACAGTTCTTTACATTTCTGTATTTCAATTCCTGTACTACGTTTTACTTCCGAGGAATAGTTTCAAATAGCTTGTTGCTGTAAACCTCTACGAGGCTGGGTCAGATCATTGTAAGTTTTTATTTACTTAATGAAATTCAGATTCTGAAATCGTTCTTCATTTGCTGTTATTTATTAAGATTCTCCTAAACAAGTCACCAGTAAAAGTCCTCTTCATTGAGGCTGAGAGAACTATAATACAATCGTCTGATAATTGGTTGGCAATTAATATTTTGTAAAGACTGATTGATCATTGCTAGCACGCTTCAAATTACATTATTAACCTTCGAAAGCAAAAAAGCAACAGAATTGTAAAGATTCAGTCACTTTTTCTAAATTAGAAAAATATATCTACACACTTAGATGTTAAATATATCTTATAAATATAAAATATTTAGACTTAAATCAATGAAAATGTTGTTTTGAATGATGATCACGTGATCTAATAGATTACACAAGTTCTCATGTAAGATCATCATCTTACCTTTTCTTTTTTTTAGATATTGCTTATCAGTCATTCTTAAAGAAGAAAGTAACACAACAAGAATTAACACTTTTGCCGACCAAAAAATTGGTCGCTAAAAGCCCATTTTTGGTCGGCAAAAGTTATCCGCGACCAATTTTTTTGGTCACTGCTTTGGTTGCCAATTGAGGGTCGGCAAAAGTAATTCGTGACCAAAATTTTGGTTGGTCGGGAAAAGTCGGATTTGCCGACTAAATTTTTTATCGCTAAATATATCATTACCGCGACTAATTCATTTAGTCGCTAAAACACTTTCGTTGCGAAAAGTGATATTTTCCCGACCAAATATCTTAGTCGCCAATTGACACATTTCGCGACCAAAAAGTTTGGTCGTCAATTATCACATTCAATGACCAAAAAGTTTGGTCGTCAATTGTGACATTCCACGACCAAAAATTTTGATCGCCAATTGTCACATTCCGCGACCAAAAGAAATGTTTGTGCAACTAAAACTTTAGTCGGCAATAGACCTATTCGCGACCAAATCCTTTGGTTGCCAAAATTAATAATTTTAATGACTAATTATTTAGTCGCCAAATGTGCTTGGTGTTACACCGACTACTTTATTTAGTCGGCAAAAGTATAACTTACTGGGGTACGAGTGCCCTTACTAGTTTTGGGGCTTTGATTAGCAAAAGCTATTGGGAATTTGGGACAAAAGTACAACATTTCACACTCTCAGTTGCCATGGAATGCAAAAGATCAGAACATTTCCCCATCAATCATAAACATTACAAGACAACTTTATTTCTTTACAATCGTGTCAAGTACAAAGAGAGACAGACACAGAGAGAGAACAGAATCAACTTAACCTTCCCCACCAAAAAAATAGCAAGACTGTCTGCAAGATAACAAGGTAAAAGCTACATACTAAACTTTACATTCCCAATATATACATTCATGCAGCAGTAGCATGAAAGTTACCCTTAGATGGCTTCCCACATTTGCTTGCTTCTTCCATTCCGAACTCTTTTTGCTGCTCTCTATTCAGTGTTCAAATCTTCAACACTACAATCATATTCTGAACTAGGATCTGTCAATATCTTGCCACAAACATTTTGAGGATTTTCTATTTGGTTATTGCATCCAATTGGTGAACCTCCACAGTTTTCATTCACTCCAACTGACAGAACCTTAGCAGGGGTATGATCCACACTCTTAAAGCTTTCTTCTTTACCTTTCTTCACCACTTTGTTATCTTTAATCACAAAAGTTGTAGTTGGAACATCACAAGAGTTGGCCAATCCCATGGCAATCTTCCTCCTCAGCCACTGTTTGTCCTTGACAGAAGTTTTCCGTCCAAATGTTGCTTTAAAGGTTTCATGAAGTTCCCTAACTAATAGGTTGTCCAAGCATATTTCACCCTTTAACTTTGAAAAATCAGGCTTTGAACTAGTACAGATAGCAGAAATTGATGATCCACTTTTGATTGGTCCATCTAAAGGGCTTGAGCATTCTCCACCACTTCCAAGCTGATCAATATGACTCTCATTTGAATTTGTTTCCAACGAAGGAATAGTTTCCTGCAAGGGCGTTGAAATTTGAAGCTTTTTGTCAAGTGAAGTCAATATACCGTGCCTATTAGATATAGGATATGTGTGCTCATGAAAGTGGAAGACAGATCAAATATTAGTTGCACGAAACTATATTTATTCAAATATACTCCAACAAAAATTAAGTATAAATATACAAAAATGCTAGAGATCAAAATTTGAACTACACACTAAATTACCAACTATTCTTTTGTTTCTTTGACATCTGTATGTTGTAGATCTGTCATATAATGGCAAACAAGTCGTTTTCTCCAATTTCTGCTGACTACCATTTCCGGATGAGTTGGAAATTTGAACCAGTTTCATGCAAAATGAAACTCATCAATTGAAGTCATAATCAGAATAAACATTTAAAGAGTTCTTCGCTTTAAATTAGTGCAACTTTTGCAGCTACCTTCTGATCTACTCTAATACAAGTTCACCATTCAAGAAAGGTGCATTTGTTAGAATTTACCTACACCTACCACCACCTACTACCACACCTACTACACCTACCACCAATTTACCCTCACCTACTCCTCACCTACTACCCAAACCCTCTCCTATATAATGAGCTACTCTGATTTGTAATAAATCACATCAAGATCAACATACATCAATCAATAATACATTTCTCTATTTCTTTTTATAGATTGCATTTTTTACAGCATTTAATTCTTATTAAAAGTCTATGTTGCAGACGTTATAGATGCATATAAATGTCAACCAAAATTAAGTACAACACAAACACCATTATTATTGGCTGAGAAAATTGAACGAAGCAACTATAAATGGAAAAAGAGAAGTAAACCTTTTCTATGCTGCAGGCATTCTAGATGCATATAAATGTCAACCAAAATTAAGTACAACACCAGCACCATTATTATTGGCTGAGAAATTGAATGAATCAACCGTAAATGGAAAAAGAGAAGTAAACCTTTAGTTCACTGAATGTGCTTGTAGCAGTAAAACGCACAGAAATCGGGAAAAAGACTGATGCATCTACTGGAGGGACAACAAACTCCATAGATCCACTGCCAAGTGTTCCAAAATGAAGTTAGAAACCAAACAAGCACTACAAATTGTAGAATGCACAATAAATTTTAGTTTTTAAATAAAAGAAACATCATCATATGCTGACCTGCAGTTTGAGTTATCAATGAGAAGTATGGACCACTGTAAAATGGAATTTCTGGAATCACACCTGTGAGAAAACATACAGGTATTGTAAACCCAACTCCATTGAACAAGAGAAGTGTAACAAAACCCATTTATTGGTGAGCAAATCATTAAACTGTGTACCTTCTAAAAAGTCTGTTGAAAGCGAAATCAAAAAAGGGAGTAATCAAAGCAGCTATATGAGGTTTTTGCAGTAATTATTGTGGAAATATCAAGCTATAATTTTAAGAAGTTACATAACAAGATCTTGATAAGCTGGTACATCAATTCCATTTCCTGAAAGGTCATTTTAAAACCATTTTGAAGTGGTATAGATGAAACATAAAAAATGTATAATACATTTTTCAAATTTTGCGGGAAAAAGAAAAACAGCAAGTGGTCCCAAAATATTTTTCACATTTTGCCTTCTCTCATACTACTAAACAGAGACAAATGATGTGAAAAGCATATCAATGCAAAACAATCATGACTTCCAAATAAATAAATAAAAATAGTCTTTCCTACAAAATGCAATTATATTTTGGAGGATATAGCTTTTACCATGCCGTTTTAATCGACCCAACATCCATTTCTCCTAAAATTGATCTCAACTATAACTCACAATCCAAGACTCCATCAAATAATTGCTCAGCTCTCAAACAATAATGACCTAAAACTGCATAAACATAAGATTTAATAACAATATAAATTAAGAATTCACCTCCATTCACCATCATTCTACTTTACATTTGGTGCCTCTCTAAGAGCTGGAAGAGGTACTGAAATCACAACATTCTGCAAATCAAATGTTGATGAAGCTTCATACTCGATACTGACATAAGTTTCAGTTCCAGAAATCGAGGACCAGCAGTTGACTGAGATTATATAGGTGAAATTAGATGGCGAATCAATAAATCCACATTACATCCATCACAACACAGGTTTGCTTTATGACCTCAATCCTCTCTTCTTCCATAGCCCCCAAATTATATATATATATAGAGAGAGAGAGACTGAGGGCAAGGGCTAGAGAGGAAGAGGCGAGAAACAAAGAGAGAGAGACAGACAGACCGAGAGTGAGAGAGAACCTGTGAGGATGCGGCGGCGGCGGTGGCAGTGGCGCTAGCAGTGGCGTACGACGCTGGTCAACGATGAGGTGAGATTGGGTGAGGATCCCACAGAAATGAGGAGTCCATTAGACAGAGGGCGATGGCGATGGCGATGGCGATGGCGATGACGATGCGCGACGGACATGAGCAATGGTGGTGAGGGCCTTCGGTGAGCTAGAGAGAGTGGGCACCGATTGAGAGAGAGAATACAGAGAGAGGGAGAGGGCGGATCAACATATAGAGAGACACAGAGAGCGAGGTGGAGACAGAGAGGAGAGACGGGATTAGAAATGGCGACCAAATTTTATAAATGGCGACCAAATTTTTAGAGACAGTGGGTACAAAACGACGTCGTTTTATAAATGGCAACCAAATTTTTTTTTGTCGCAAAAAATTTTCATTTCCCCCCTCCATGTTTCAAATTTCCCTCCCAAACTTTTCGCGACCAAATGACCAGATTAGTCGCAGAAAAGATACTTTCGCCGACAAACTTTTTTAATTGCCAAATCTCAATCAACGACCACTAAAATATTAGTCGCTAAAAGTACTAATTTGGCGACTAATTTTTTTTGGTCGCCAAAATGTAACCTTCCGTGACCAAATTTGTAGTTGGTCATCAAAAACATACCAATTTCTGCAACTAACTCATTTTTGGTCACCAAAATGTGACTTTCTGCAACGAACTCATTTTGGTCGCCAAAAATAATGATCATTCGCGACTAATTAATATTTTGGTCGGCAAATGTCATTTTTTTGCGACAAAATTTTTTTTGGTCGGCAAAAGTGGTCGGCAAATGTGTAAATTCTTGTAGTGTAAACAAAGACAAACACTCAATTTTCGAATAACAATAACTTAACAATGATGTTGATATTTCATAAGCATACATACCTTTATAAGTAAAAATGACCTAATAATAAGAAAGAATTAATTGACATATTTTATTTTAAAACCTAAAGCATTTTAAAAGGCATATATACTTATTGTTCAAAAAAGTTAAAAAAAAAAAAAAAACGCATAGAACCATTAGGTTTAACTGACCTTACCCATGTAGTATTGAAATATATTTATTTCAATAAAATAGCAATAGAAAATTCATATTGCAAGTTACTTTAACCTTAAACATAGAAGATACATTGAGATTTTTTTTTTTTTTTAAATGAGAAGAAAATGTTAAAAATATGTTGGGTCTGACTGAATTTGATTGAATCCTATTAAAAACTCCATAATCTCCAAAATAACAACAAATCATGTATATATTGATTATTTTCCTACTAAACACTATTAAGAAGTTGTATTATGTAATTTTAACTAGAAAAAGAGAAGAAAAAAAAGAAAATCGAAATATGTCGGACATGATAGTTTTAAGAATTACACAAATCGTAAAAAATGAATCAAATCGTGAATCGATTGTGAATCGTGCGATTCACTAGAGATTACTTACAAAATAGATTCATCCATAGATAGAAAACCAACTTGAGGTTGGAAGAAAAATTAGATCAATCCGATATTCGTAACTCCTTCACATTATTGTGTTTGTCTTCAAAAAAAAGTTAATGGCTATGTGTTTTTTAAATTTGAGAAGCTTTGGTGAAGAAGATGATTACGAGTTCTCAAGGTCTAACAAGTTAGCAAGGATGGAGAACAAATTGTAATGACCAAGGCGCCAATAGTCCAAGTCTATTGAAAAATTTAAACTCATTTTGGGTGAAAAATCTTAAAAGAGTTTTGGGTGTTTAGGGCCTAGGTTATATTTAGGAGTTTTGTATATTCTAGTTGGCTTCTTACTAACTAGTTTTAGGTGAGCATGTTCACGCATTTGGAGTCAGTTTTTCTCACCAATGATCATTCACGCTTTTCTGATTTGTAATACTTCATTGCTATAATAAAAGGGCAAATTACGATGTAGTCCCTGTAGTTTGATCATTGTGTAATTTTAATTCTTGTAATTTCAATTGGCTCGATTTTAACCCTGAATTTATGATTTTATCTCAATTGAGTCCAATTGATTACAACTCATAGTATTTTTTTTATTGAAAATATGTATATAATTGTCATGTGTCATATTTTTAAGGGCAAAATTGTAAAACTCAGTAAGTTAATCTTGACCAATTTAGTGATAATTTTCTTTAAAAACACTGACAATATTATTAATTTGACCAAATTGATATAAAATCTAAAATTAAGGGTCAAAATTGGGCTAATTAAAAGTGTAAGGACCAAAATGATACGAAGTAAAATATAGGAATTACCGGTGTAATTTGTCCATAATAAAATATTTGTGAATGCAATTCTCTTTAATGCAACATGTCACAAAAAGTGTAATTATAACCGGCTTAGGGTATCATGATTTCAACTCTCATTGAGTGCTAATTATGAGTTTTAAGGAGGAAATAAAATTGTGCTTTGTAAGGGTGGGGAGATTAACAAACTCCCATGGAGGGTGAACAAATTTGTTCTCACTCCAATGGGTGCTAATCCAACGCATAGTAACCAACTAACATTTTGCCGACAAAAAAAACAAAACAAAAAAAAAAGAGTCTAATTTTTAAAGCTTTTTATTTAGATGGGAACCTGTAAAGCTAGAAGATATCCACTAATGTTGTGTTTGGTTGGAGGATTTGGAGAGGGATTTAGAAAGGGAAATGGAAAAGGTAGGTGAAATGTGAATAAATCATGCCTATATTTTACATAGTTTCACACACATTTTCCCTTTCCTTTTCCCTTTGTAAATCTCTCTCCAAATCTCTCAACCAAACACAGTATAAATGTTCGCATATTATTGATTGAATTGTTTTGTGTGTGTGTGTGTGGGTACACACCTATCTGAATCTTATTCGAAAAAACAAGGATGAATTTGACATTTCGCTTTCAAGAGGTGTGCTAAAAAAATCAGGTCCAATTTATTATACTACTTCTAATCTAGATAGACTAGATTGGAAGAAGCACCACCCATTTGGCCACCACACATCATCAGTCATCAATTGTCTCACACGCACACAAACACACACTACTCTGTCTGTTTGTTTTTTTGTTTGTTTGTTTTTTTTTTCTTTTTTTTCTTTTTTTGACTGAAAGTATGTCTATGGCATGTATACACTAGTACTAGTACACATACATAAATCTATGAATTTATAGATAGATAAAAACTATCAAACACTGGTAAAAATATATAAATCTATGTATATACTAGTATATCAAAACCATTAAAACTAGTACGAATACATAGATTTGCGAATATATAAACATATAAACATGGCATAAATGTTGAAAGAGATGTTTTATGAAGGTGATTGTTAAACAAACAAGCAAGTACATCGAATCGTATAAAATCAAATACATACAACCATGGAAGCAAGAATCGTGAAGGATGGATTTGTGGAAGCAGCAAAAACCCTCATTGATTCCCCAAACAAAACAGATTGCAAAAATGGGAAAAATAAATGGTGAAGGTGATGATGATCTCACCGGTACTAGGAGTTCTTCGGTGCCGGCGGTGAAGTTTTCCGATGAACGGAGGTTGAAATCGGCGTACAGAGGTGAAAGAGCTTCACTGCTTTCTTCTTCTCTTTCCTCCTCAGTAGAGCACTGAGTACAAAATGGCTGGGGTTTCTTTAAGGAAATGGCTTCTCACGAGTCCTCTTAAACCAATGACAGGATGACAGGATACATCTCCATATGTTGTATTAGAAAAAGCATTGACCCAAAAGGAAGAAGACTCATGAGTGAAAATTTTTGCAACGAAAAATATTGGTCCGGATCATATATTGGTCCATCCAGCCTATCTAGTTTATCACGGATTTTATTTTGATAATTTAAAGTATTAATGTGTGAAGTTCATTAAGTATTTCATTTGTACAAAGATATTATGCCGAGTGGATATTGATAACTTCTTGATCAGAATATAATTTTGTTAAAAATTTATTTTATTTACCATTGAGAAAAATACGATACGATCAAGGGATTATTGATATTCGATCAATATAATTTTTGACAAAGATGAAATACTCATCAAACCCTACATATTAACTGTTTAGATTATCAAAATAAGACCTATAATGAGTCTCACGAGCCCAACAATATAATCCAATCTACTTTGTGAATTGAAGAGAAATCCTTCCCTCCTTTGATATGTGCACACATTTTACATTGTGTTATTTACACTTTACACCATTGTGGTTTGACAAAAACACGTTACTCCTTTATGATATGCACATAACAATCCTATGGTTTGGCGTGAAATGTAAAGCCTAACACCATAAATATTTCTGGTGAAAACTCAATATTATCCTTATTTTCTTTCTAATTTACTTTTTCATACTAACATCAGTGCATCTCTTTCTAGAATTTGGAGATATTTGCAATTATTTAAATAAGTATATTTTTTAATTTTTTATGAAAAGATGTGTAAAAAAATAGAGAAGTGATATGACTTAAATAAGTGCATTTATTTAAATAAGTGCACTTATATAGATTATGTCAAACACTCCGACCCAAACAAACGAAAAACTATTCAATGCTCCTAGAGTGTCACGTATTCATACTCTTTCACTAATCATCATGCATCATGCTTTATCGAAATCTAAATGTTACACATTTGACCCACTAACATATACTTTATTAGTTCATTTATTTATATTATTTTATAGTTTTATATAATATTATATGCTTTCATACATTTTAAATGTTTTGTATATAAATTGCTATATATATTATATTTTAATAGAATTTATATTATATTATTTTAATAATATTATATAAATAATAAATATAATAAAATAAATAAATAAGTAAAACCTTTCGGTGATGAAATCCCACAGGCAATTCATATGTATATATTATATTATATAAATTATTGTAGTAATAAAAAGTAAATAAAAAAACAAAAGCAATTAATGGGGGAGTCAAATTTTCCACCTTACCTGCCAATCTATATTTATATATATATATATATATATATATATATTATATTTATCTTATTTGCAGGTTGAATGCCTATAAGAAGAACTTTAGAAAACGAACTCAAAAAGGAGAGGAAGGTCAGACAAGAAATGAAAGAAAGAGAAGAGAGAAAGAAACAAAAGGAGACTGGGAGAGTTTAAAATGTATATTTTTTAGAGTGGTAGTTCCACGAGTACGTGGAACTAACTTCCTTGTCTTAGGGATGAAATGAAACCCTTATCAAGTAATTGAGATGAGTTATATTTAATTCTGTAGTTTTATTTTAATTTAGATACTTTGTGTAATGTCAGAAGATTTGTTTATACAAGAAATATTTTTATGTAATATTCGTTATGAAAATGGTTTTCAATGTTTGTATAGTAAAATTGTTAGACGAGTCATATTAAGTAAGACGGGTCATGCTTCAAAATAATTTAATGTAATTTAGGATTAAGCCAAGATGGTTTGTACTTTCAGATTTTATTAAACAAAAATTATTTTTACAAAGTATCTAGGCCAATATACATCATAATATCCAAATTAAAGATTTTCTATAAGCTAATACAACAACTTCCCAATTACGTGATTAGTGGTGGATTCAAAATCCTAAGATATTTTTCTCATCTCATTTCACTTAATTAATAGTTTAATTTTCACTCCAAAAATTCACAGCAACTTTGTTAAAATCCTAAATTTCTAAATTAAATTTATTTCTTTTCTTTAGTCCTTGTGGATCAACATCTGATCTTGACCGTTATTCTACAAAGTAGTAGTTACTACGCGGTTTTTAAATAAAATATTTTCGTGCATAAAATAAGGGAGAAGAGTTTTTGAATTTGTGTGAAAATGTATCAGAGATACATTTCAATTTAACGGCTAAGATGAATCTGAAGTTTATATCGACGGTTCAGATTGGTTCAAATGGATGATGATTGATTCATTCACGCACGCATGTCTGACCCACGCACGTCTGAACCCATCCTCCCCACCTTCCCTCTCTCTATCTCTCTCTCTTTCACTCTCTGTTCTTCTTCGACAGAAGCAAAAAACCCCACCCTCTGTTGGGTATACCTCCTTATTGAAGTGTGGGACCCAATTGGTTTAGGTAGAAGAGTTTTAATTTGGATTGGTTTAGGTATAATATATTTTTATATATCATATTTGAGGAGACCCAATCCAATTTGGAAATAACTAAAATTTGATAATAAACCCTAGATTCACAATACATATTATTGGTATTGGTTTTCACCAAAAAGAAGAAGTACTGCGGCAGCCACACAGATTCCGGAGCTAACATTGATTGTTGGGGCTTAAGTTCAATTGATGTTCCATTGTTGCTGTGCATCATTGGTTAGTGGATGAAATTGATTTGGGTTGTTATTTCGGATCTTCTTCAATTCTGATTTAGAAGATTTTGGTTCTTCTATTTGGTGAGGTCTTTTCCTCTTGTTTATTTGTGATTATTTGGAATTCACCTAAGGGTGGTTTTGTGAGACCATTAGTGTCTTGTTTGTAATCGTTTGGAAATTTTTTGGTTGATAGTGGAATCGGATTTCTATCCCGTGGATGTACCTTACATTGAGGGAACCACGTAAAAATTCTTGTGTTGCCTTTGATTTAATTTTTCAGCATTAGTTTTTATTCCCATTGATTGATTTACTTGTGGGGAATCACATATTTTCCCTAACAATTGGTATCAGAGTATACGGTTTATTTGAGTTTAATTATTTGTGTAAATCTATGGAGGGGAATGTGGGTCGTATGTCTAGCTTCAATGGAAGCAATTGGGTAACTTGGAAAACTAAAATGGAGGACCTATTATTCTGTAAAGATCTATATGGACCCATTTAGGGTGATTCTGGCAAACCCGATGGTATAAAAGATGATGAATGGAATAGGCTTAATCGAAAAGCCGTTGGTGTTATTCGTCAATGGATTGATGACAGTGTGTTTCATCATGTTGCTACGGAAACTTCAGCACATGATTTATGGAAAAAATTAGAAGGCCTTTATGATAGGAAATCAGCCACAAATAAAGCTTTTCTGTTTCGTAAGTTGGTTAATTTAAAATATAAAGAGGGCAGCCCTATTCCGGAACATCTGAATGAAATAAAGAGTATTGTTAACCAACTTGCTTCTATGAAAATTGTTTTTGATGATGAGTTGCAGGCTTTAAAAGTTAGGAGACTTTGGTTGTGACAGTTAGTAATTTGGTGCCCGATGAAGTTGTCACAATGAGCCAAGCCACTAGTAGCTTGTTGAATGAAGAAATTAGAAGAAAATTAGCGGGTTCTTCTCATTCAGAGGCATTTGTTGGAAGAGACCGAAACAAAACAAGGGGGATGAGTAAAACTCCTCATGGTTGTGATAAAAGCCGTGACAAATTGAGAGATGGTTCCTTTTCAAAGAAAAACATTGAGTGCCATTATTGCCATGAGAAATGCAAAAAAATAAATAAAGGCAAAATATTAAGGGCCTCTTTGATAACTGCTTCGTATTTAATTTTCAGTTTATATTTATAAAAATTTAGAAAATTATCATAAAAACTTATTTGATAATTTTTTTTGATTTATAAATAGTTGTCTCAGTTTATAAATTTGATAAAAAAATGTAAACTTATTTTGGGTTTACGTTGGTTTTTAAACAGAAATTTAAAAATTTAACTAACAATTTTTCTTTTTCAAATTTTTTTTTAAATAATTTTTTTTCAATTATAATGTGTATGATCCCATTATCATAAATAATAATAAAAATAAATATAAATATTTTAGACCTGAACAAACATATTTTTGAATTTATGTTTTTAAAATTTTTCTTACATTTTATTCGAACCAAACGTGTTTGCAGTTTATGTTTTTCTAAAAATAAACAAAAGCCATACAAAAAATTTGACTCTTTCATGATGAATAATGGTTTTTCTAAAACCACTTCGGACCATTGTGTGTTTGTGAAAAATTTTTCGGATGACAAATTTATTATTCTTTGCTTTTGTTGATGACATGTTAATTGTGGGTCAAGATTCTACATGATAAACAGGTTGAATTTGGAGTTGAGCAAGTCTTTTGCTATGAAAGATTGGGACCAGCAAAGCAAATTCTTGGTATGAAAATTGTTCGTGATCACAAAGAAGGAGGCTGATTTGGTTGTCTCAAGAAAGCTACATTGAGAAAGTTCTGAGAGGTTCAACATGAATAAACCAAAGCCGGTTGGTTGTCCACTTGCGGGTCACTTCAAGCTTAGTTCGAATCAATGTCCTACAAATGAGAAAGACAAAGAAGAGATGTTGAAAGTTCCTTATGCTTCAGCAGTTGGTTCTTTGATGTACGCCATGGTTTGTACAAGGCGGATATTGTTCACGCCGTTGGTGTGGTGAGTCGGTTTCTCTCTAATCTGGGTAAAGAACATTGGGCAGCGGTAAAATGGATTCTAAGATATCTTCGAGGACTTTCGAAGGTGTGTTTGTGTTTTGGGGATGGTAAGCCGA